CCAATCTCTCTGACCTTCAACGAATTTAGTATTCTCCCATTCATATAATAATACGACTATGGAGGAATTTTAGTTCACACTCAAGAAGTTTAGCAATATGTCATAACATTTCAAAACAGGCTCAGGCGCTGTGGACCAACACCCTTAAGGAAAGGTGAAGGTAAAGTACTATAAAGATTCGAACTTTCCTCGAAGTAAAATACATCAGAAATAAAGATTTGAAGTTGATCAGTAGAGGCATTCTCAAGTTATCACGTGCATTCAATATTCCAACAAATTTAATAACTTTGGCAGATTGAAACTTTCCGCTATTGCTTACATTGCAAATATTGCTTTTAGGGAAATGCTTAAGCACTAAAAAGTTAAAGCTGATCAGACGAAGCATTCTCAGTTTATCTCACCGAAAATAGTACCTTACAGTTTTTTATAAAATTGGTACCTACACATTCCAATTACAACCCGAACTCCATTTTAACTACTGCACTCCAAGATTCCATATAAACTCCATCGTAATTACTGCACTTCCAGGCTATACACAAACCACTACGTTCTCAGAATGAAGGTGGTGGTGAGACCTCGTCACCCAGACGTCTGTCCAAAGTCGGGATTGACACTAAGAAGAGAGGAACTTGTCGAGTCATGAGAAGAGCAGCACCATCGGGAGCACTGGAATGAAGAATCAGTTACACATCACTGTAGCCATCTGATACACATGAGTAGAAGACCTGCCGCGCACCCACCATAGGGCTTCTGTCACCACGATTGCAGGATTGCAGTCATCCTTCATTGGCCATAGGAACGGAATCACTGGGCCCCATTCACAGGTCTATTAACGGTACCTTCTCTTGTATCATTAGATCATTGGCTTTATTAAAAAAAATGTTCGTCAACATGTCTCTGTATTGGACTGAAAAAACCTATTCACAAGCCTCCACTTGCACATCAGTGAGCCTCCATCAGGAGCCAATGATAGGTCATCATTGGAAGACCCGTATAGGGCATTGTTTCTGACGAATATTTGATCATTTTCTTTAAGCAGCAGAAGAGGATCTCAGACCGAGACAGTCATATACTAACAACTGTTTTCCTGTGCTGATAAAATAGACTCGGGAACATAGGATAACCTTATATATAGTGGTACACCATGTTCCGTTCATGTGAAGTGAATTTTCAAGTGAAGGCCACTAACATCCACTACATGAAGACTTATCCTTCACACAGGGATCACTCTTTAACTTACCACCATCTTGAAGTTGAAAATGGATTCTGTCATTATCACCACGAAAAACTCTGACGGACTTCATACGACCTAAGCTAAACAAGAGATCAGTATTTCGCCTGTGTATATACCATACTTTGTAATTGCTGGGAGAAAATATACACGAGAGATAACCGGGAGAGATGTTTTTTTTGTTGACGTGGTCAACAGCAATAACAACGTTTGTGTGATACATAGAAACACTTTCGCATATTGTGGACTTAGAACGAGCTGAACCCGGCATCGCTGAAGAGAACCACACGAGCAGAAAGTGTTCAGAAGCAGCTCCAGTTATGACTACAAACACTTGGTCCTTAGAGCAGAGCGGCTTGCCCGTCTCTTACACAAGTTTGAGGAAGAAGAACATGCATAAAGCTAACACGCTTGTCTAATTCAATCTACATATCAAAAATCCCTGGTAGTTGTAGTAGATGAGCACTGAAGTAGGCCTACCAGTCCTGGGGTATGCCTAGAGAGGGTTTCGGGGGTCACCGCCCTCGCGGCCCGGTCTGAGACCAGACCTCGTTGTGGATCAGGGTCTGATCAGCCAGGCTGTTACTGCTGGCTGATGCAAACTGACGTACGAACCACAGCCCGGCTGGTCAGGTACTGACTTTAGGTGCCTGTCTAGCGCTTTCTTGAAGACATCCACCGATCTATTGGTAATCTCCCTTATGTATGCTGCGAGGCAGTTGAACACTCTTGGGCCGCTAACACTTACTGTGTTATCTCTCGCTATACTCGTGGCACTCCTACTTTTCATTGGGGGAATGTTGCATCTCCTGCCGAGTCATTTGCTTTCGTAGGGAGTGATTTTCGTGTGAAAGCTTGGTACGAATGCCTCTAGAATTTTTCAAGTGTGTATTATTTATCTTTTTCGCCTGCATTCCAGGGAATACAAATCGAGGGACTTCAACCGTTCCCAGTAATTTAGGTGCTTTATCGTACTGATTTGTGCCGTGAAAGTTATTTGTACACTCTCTAGGTTAGCAGTTTCGCCCACCTAGAAGGGGGCAGTTAGTGTACAGCAGTATTCCAGTCTAGAGAGAACAAGCTATTCTTAGAGAATCATCATCGGCTTGGCGTCCCTAGTTTTGAAGGTTCTCATTATCCATCCTATCATTTTTCTAGCAGATCTCTGAAGGTGAGATCCTCTGACATTATCACTCCTAGGTCCTTCTATGTTTGAATGCGCAAGTCGCTTCTCTGCCTTCGCCAGACGCAAAACCCTCCCCTCTGTGTCTAAGCAAAACATTATTCTTGCATTCCCAATTAATGCTAAAGGTGAATGATCTTCAGATAGTTCCTGACTATGGAACTGAACTTCTCCAGGCCGAGGGACTGACAAGTTATTGATACCACACAAGTTCAGGACAAGAACAGACACAATCGGCTGCATCCCAAAGCCGGGCACACTCGTAAGCTGTGAGGAACACCCATCAACTGTTTCATCTCCATCCTTGTAAGCCAGCCCACAAGATATATTTAGATTGCTTCCACCTGCAGAGAGAAGCCAGGGTAGAGCATCACATTGCTTTAGTCCACGAAGTTATTGATAACCTGCTGGAGGCAGACACTGAGCTGTGAATAGACCCTAGCAACCATACTCAATCAGTTCTTTCCCCTTACATTTATTTACTTAAAAAGCACATCTTGCTGGTATGCGAACTGTCATCTGGTGAATGTCAGCAGACACCGTACCACACTACGCTACCATATAATTCAGTGATTTAGCCCATTGCCCGCGTTCAATCGCACCCAGTGATGTTATGCAATACATGGCAGACTGTAAGACAATACATGGCAGACTGTAAGACAATACATGGCAGACTGTAAGACAATACATGGCAGACTGTAAGACAATACATGGCAGACTGTAAGACAATATATGACAAACTGTAAGACAATGCATGGCAGACTGTAAGACAATACATGGCAGACTGTAACACCGGGTATGTTCTATCAGACTTGATCTCTGTATAAAGTTTCCAGTAGTTACTTATGTCTCTTGTATAAACTATAACTTGCCAGTATTCCCATACAGGTTTACTATCACAAGAACTAAATAACATACATGGATTTAAATTTGTGGGAATTTATAATAAAAATGAATTTAGTGGTAACTATGTTATGAGGAAACGAAATGTGGTATAGAACGTGAATGTGGTATAGAACGTGAATGTGGTATAGAACGTGAATGTGGTATACAACGTGAATGTGGTATAGAACGTGAATGTGGTATAGAACGTGAATGTGGTATAGAACGTGAATGTGGTATAGAACGTGAATGTGGTATAGAACGTGAATGGTGTCAATTTGGGATTCAAGATGTAAAGTTAAAATTTTTTAGTACGAATTGTTAGTGATGTGTGATCAGTTGTTGCAAAGTGTGATGGACGGAGAGGAAGCAGAGTGAGGGAGTACAAATAGAAGTAGTGTAGAGGTCAGAATACACTGTGCAACAAAGGTGTGTATTTACTGGGTGGGTGAACAAGGGAAGGGAAATTATTGGTGGAAGAATGAAGTAAAAATATTTAAACAGTTATACCCCTCAAGGAAGGTGCCTTGATACTAGTAAGGGGCTCTTGATCTAGGGAATTGGATCTGCTGTCCAGTTCCCTTGAATATCTTCCACATCCCCCCCCCCACAGGCGCTGTATAACCCTTCGGGTTTAGTGCTTCCCCTTGATTATAATAATTTAAGTTACAAATAAATGAGGTGGACAACATCAAGAAAATATAGAAGACAAAAGTGTTGTGAAGACGTGTAATAGAGCAGATAAATGAACAAATGAGCCACTGTCAGTAACTTTAAAAATTAAAGTTTTTTAGGAAAAAAAATTCAGTGAGACAAACGATTCTGTTTGTATAGTGAAAAATTTAAAAAAAAAAAAAAATGAGTATAGCAGGAAAGATGGAGAGAGGAGCTAGATGACTGGTTCAGTGCTGGTGAAATAAAGGTCGAAATTTTATGCTAATAAAGATCGGGAAGTATGAAGGAAACAACATTTAGGTGGTTCCAAATGTACTGACAACAGTAGTGTAGGACTGACACGTTACGCAACAACCTTTTGTTGGTATGAGGTTTAGTTTTGTGTAGAGCTTTGTCACTAAGTGACAGAACTCGATGCAGAGCGAAACGTTGCCCTAATGAAAGCTGTTCTGTAAGGTCTCATCTCTTCACGAGGATGGATGTAATTCAGACTGAAATCCTGACAGCATTTTGAGATACAAAAGTGTGTACTGATAGGAAAAAATGTAGGAGCCCAAAAATTAGGAGACAGCATATCTGATTCCATTCTATAAAGAGAAAGATTAGAGGAGAGTTGTAAGAATTAATGAGAACTACATGATATTTTAGGTAAAGGAATTGTGACATTTACTGTGCCACAATATATTTCACATTAGTTGTACACTTGTTCTTTTACCAACCATATTGTAGGTAATTCTGGCTTTATTATCCATACAGGATACATCTGATAGTTCTTGACTTTGGTGTTCTGCATGTGTCTATCTCCCTCATGTTTTAATAATATTAAATCAAGTACAGTTGCCTTTAGTTTGATGTATAGTTTTTGGTGCAAAATTGGAAGTAATCTAGTGTTCTGAGTGACTTTTAAGTCATTGGTAAATCAGTATGATTATTCTCAGCATGAATCTACAACGTATATATCAGATTAGGTTACTTAGTTCTCGATTTATTAATAGACTCATTAATACTGGAAACAGTAATGGCACAAACCTTGTAAAGATGGTGGAGGAGTTGGTGTCTAGGGTCATGGTAGCAACTGCGGTGCTGCTGCAGGTGTCGGTGACGGCTGCTGCAGGTGGTGGTGGTGACGGCTGCTGCAGGTGATGGTGACATCTGCTGCAGGTAGTGATGGTGGCGGCGGCGGCTGCCCGGCTACTGCAGGTGGAGACGTAGTGATAGTGTAGTATGTGGGGAGTAACGTGGTACTTGGTGGGTAATACCTTGATTCAGATGGCTGAGGTGGGTAATACCTTGATTCAGATGGCTGAGGTGGGTAATACCTTGATTTAGATGGCTGAGGTGGGTAATACCTTGATTTAGATGGCTGAGGTGGGTAATACCTTGATTTAGATGGCTGAGGACCAGTTGAGGCGGGAAATACCTTGATTTAGATGGCTGAGGACCAGTTGAGGCGGGAAATACAAGATGGGTCCTGACGAAATAAATGTCTACAAGGACGAACATTTGAAACTGCTGAACTTATGATGCTCAAGTCATATATTCTTCTTAGGTAGATCACTTGATACTGACGTCTTGAGGATCATCTTCAGCGTGCCCATAATACTGCGTGACTGGATGAAATTACTTTCATTTTTAGAGTTGGTGTGTCAGGCGCTGTCACACCTCTAATCTTTGTAGGGAAAATTACTTCTGGATTGTTGTGAAGAATTATCCCTAAGTTAGTGATCCATATTTTTGTCACTGGATCACTTGCGGATCTGTATAGGAGGAGGTCACGTGGCGCTAGGTCATTCACTCCTCGTGTAATGTAAGGATTACTTAGCGCCAGGTGATCTCTGCGTACGGGAGCCGCCTCGTGCCCCCGTCTCGCTCCCAGCTGTACCGAAGCTGCTGCAAATACTATCCTCTTGTGTGTGGACGCCGCGTGAATAGAGAAAGGTATCTACCGCTGACCACACGTCGTATTCCTTTACTCATCACGCCGGTTGTTCAATAAGCGACATGTGGGTGACAAGCAAAGGATTACCCTGTGCGTCTCGAAAGTAACTGCTTAGAGAAGTCGTATGCAGCCCCATATTGTTCTCCCCAACAGGCCTGGAGTTTGGTTAATTTGTAAGTGTCCTCTTTCCGGTGACAAACCACAGGCGCCATGGTTAACGGGGGCATGTTAATGGACGAGAAATTTATTGATTTGTGGGAAATAAGACAAGTGATTGGATGAGATGTCACTGATGAACAGTAGAGCCGGACATGTGATTGGATGGTCAGCGAATTTTTGGTTGGTAAGAACGAACTGGGCTCCTTACTCTTTATGGGCTGCTAGGTTGTGTACTAATGATTACTTAGAGTACTATCATACTTATCGAGTGACTTGTGAACATAGAAAATACGGGCGGTATAGTCTTAACACCATCAGTAGTGTATTTATGACTGTCATTCAAGTGAGAATGTAAATTCACAACAAATACAAATTGAAAATAAAAACTGGATGATTTTTTCAGTCTTATTTCCATTTCCAATTTCTGAATTTGTGAAATTTTTCCAGCCACGGTATTGTGACTGTCATCGAGAACATGACTTTGATGGCTAATATGAAAAAGAGCAGAAACTGTATCTAATCCATAACAAAGGTGATTAACTCTTATACTTAGTAACAACTTACAGTATAATGCTATTGGTGAACGACAGGGGAGAGAGAACATGGAACACTCACAAGCGGGAGTGGCTCGTACAAAAATAAACAGCTACTGGCCGCTGCCCGCGTTACTAGTGTCTAATGTAATATAACAACGTAAGAATTATGCACTAGTCGTCAACATATTTTATCACAATTGTTATCAGAACCTGGGGTAAGTTGAATGACGCACCTTAGCAAAAATCTGTGGGTGCAGAAAAGTGAGGAGTGGAGCTCGTGCAACCTGTGTTGAAGACACCGTGATAAATACTGCTTAAAGTCTTAAGGCTCTCCAAGGCTGCCCAAGTTGACACACTGACTCTAAGACTTAAAGTTAACATATGTTTACCTCTACAACATGACGAAAAATCCTGCCTGTCATGGAAGCCTCGCCTTCTGTAGCAATATTGCCAGCCTTGTCTGCGACCGGGTCACGGGGGCACTGATTCCCCAGAAACATTCACTGGTGAATGCCACTTCAGAGATCCTTTAACACTGCCGTCTCCAACATTCTTTCCAGAATACAAATTTTCTGTCTCAACAGAAAAAACTGGTCTTCGGAACGAGTGTAGTTAAGACAGACTAAGGCGCCTCAAGGAAGTTTCTACCAAGAGAATGAGGTGGCAAGACAACAGAAGGTCGAACTGTGCCCCGCAAACTTGTCGCTTTGGCAGTGTTTAAGAATCTGAGGATACTTCCATGGCAGGAAGGAGTTTAGCTCAGTCTATGGTAGGGTCGACATCCAAGCTCACAGAGTACAACACCGGCTCTCAAAAATAGACAAGAGATTAAGTTAAAACAGAAAGAGTAAAAATGAACAAGAAGATGCGCGAGAGACATTAATTTGGAAAATAATGATATGTGCGGTAGAAACAAAGAAATTTTACAGTGGTACACGTGAACTAACTTTCGAGTGCAGGCAGTGAGCGAGAGTGCAAGTCTCAGAGAGTGGTTAAGGGAGCAGGGGAGGGGCAGAGTGCCCAGAACGTCGTACGTTAATGAGGTTAATACTACCAAGAATACATCAACACAACGTTTAGCTACGCGACGCAGCGCAAGGGACACAGGAGGAGGACGTAAGGTAGAGAAGCCAGTAGGGTTAGGGCGAAAAGGAGAGAAGAGGAAAAGTGGGGGAGACACAAACAAACAAGAAGAGAACATCATGAAGCTATGTAAGGCCAGCACAAGCAGGGGCACCATTGCTAAAGGGCGACAACAGCCCTGGAATAGATGACACAAGCGAGTGGGAGGTAGCAACAGGAGCAACCTCAGGGAGGCTTTGAGCGATACCAGGAAGGCTAGGAACAACCTCGAAGAGGCAAGAATTGACTCCAGTAAGGTTAAGACTGGCGTCAGGGAGGCTAGGATTGACGTCAGAGAGGCTAGCGGTGATGGAAGCCAAGGAGAGGAAGCAAGATTATGGAAGTAACAGCGGATGTATCAGGACTTCACGGGTTACTGAAGGTAAATTGTGATAGCGTGCAACAAGAGTTCTCCGAGAGCTTTAACAAGAGTAAGATTAAAAATAGGATTAACTACTTAAAATAAGTGATAGATTCAAATTAGATCCAGATCAGACACTATAAAACAGAAGAGTAAATAAAGCATAGACTAAGCGCTCAGAATAAAGAAACGTGATAAAAGATAAACAAGAAGGGAATGAGAGGTGGAGTATGAAGAACCTTACGGAAGCAGGAGTAAACCCAAAATAAATAGCTGAGAGAGAGAGAGAGAGGAGGAGGAGGGAGCAGAAAGTTTATCTAGAGATGTAGAAGAGAGCGTGAACTAGGGAGACGAGGGGCAGGAAGAGGGTTGTGGAGGAGAGCCGCAGGGAGGATGGGGCTGCATTGCACAAGTCCTCCTCACAGAAGCACATGTGGCCATGGCCGCTACTTTCCATCATGCACACGTGGTCCACCGTGAACAGGTTGATCTGCAACTTCTCCGTGCACGTCCGTCGGATTGACGCATAGGCTGTGGAAGAGAAAAACACAAGTATTAGACGAGACAGCCAGCTGGTGTATTTTAAACCTGTTTAAAATATAATTCAGTACATAACTGCAGTGTACAGCTGCTCTGTTCAATAACAGTTAGGTGTGAACACTCAGTGTACAGCTACGCTACATGACCATGGGGAAGGAGGATGTTGGTCTTGCTGATAATGAGGGGCCACTTGCCCTTCAGTTCCCATCATGTGCCTTGTGTACTGTCTCTCTTCTACTGTACTTCACTTCCCGCTCCTTATCTCGATTGTTTTGTTTGATACATGAAGCTGATTTTAGAAACTGTGAGCAATGTTTTTATTATAGATGCTCACGCCATAAGTATTTGACGTGTTCTAGTACTGTCTGGTTTATACACAGTATGTCTGGCCATACTCAGAGTATCATAAAATAAAATTAACTAATGTAGATGCAAATAAAATAAATAAGAAACAAAGCTGAAGGGGGTAAGGGAATTTCAGTGGGGAGAAATAAATGGGATTAGGTCAGGAGTATCTGAGAGTCAAGGAAGGGGTGGCAATAATGTTGAAGGATCAGTTATGGGAGGAGAAGAGGGAATATAAATGTATAAATTCAAGGATTATGTGGATTAAAATAAGGGTCGGATGAGAAAAGTGGGTTATAATAAGTGTTTATGCACTTAGAGAAGAGAGGAGTGTAGAGGAGAGAGATTTTGGGAGATGTTAAGCCAGTGTTTAGGAAATTCTGAACCAAGTGAGAGAGTAATTGTAGCAGGTGATGTGAGTCTGCTACAGTGGGAGTGTGGCATGCAAAGAGTACGTAACCTTTATTCGGCGCATGTACACACCCTCATTTACAGGCTATCTCTCCCAACCAGCGAACCAGGTTGCTAAGAGTTGATGGGGCCCCGTCGTTCAACTAGTGACCAGGTTCTAGCCAATAAGAAGATGGTTTTGGCAATTGCAGAGGTTATGTGGGTACCACTCTCCTGTCTGCCCTTGTCATTTCCATTCTAAAGCTGGTTGAAGCACGGTCTGTTATCTTGTGGCTTCTATTTCTGCCTTGCTTACCGTGGAGTGCACTATACTTATCACTGTACATAGTGTACATATTGCTGTTCTAAATTGGTGAAGGATAATATAAGTCTAAACTTTTTCTGCTGTGTTATTTTGCTCCCATTACACCCGGGATAACAGGCCATTTGGATTCCTGGGTTGTAATATGGGTAGCCTGTCAGAGAGCTGGAGCTGGACTTAGAGAAACGGTTGAGCTTAGGGTGAAGCTCGTAGCAGGAACATTGTGCAGCTTGCTGTCTGGCATTGCATTAGCTTGGCCTACGCTTTACAAATTTTGCGTGTCAGTTACTGTTATGGTCAGCCTTGCTATTGTGTGATCGTTCAACAGCTCGCTACTAGCTTGTTCGGTGTGCTCGCTTCGCTACGGTCAGTCTTCTAGAACAGTGTAGCTGTCTGGCATTGCTTTACAAATTTTGCGTGTCAGTTGTTACTAGCCTGTTCGGTGTGGAGAATTTTGCAGTCAGCTTTGCTTGTATGCGTATTCTGCAATCGTACTGTGCATAGCTAAGCGTGTTCTGCAAATTAACGTGTTACGTTGGGGTATTCTGCAATCGTACTGTGCATAGCGAATAACTTATGCCACCTAGACGAGTCAGACGTCTGGTGTCGGCATATACTTTGCATAACCTACCTAAATTGTCCCTACAGCGTTGTTGGAAAATTGCTTGTTCCATTGGCATTAAATACAAACGCACTCTCACAGCTGCGCAACTGCGTTCACTGATTGCTGACAAACTTATAGAAGAAGAGATGGCACATCAGACTCCTCCCTCTACGGGAGCTAGGGCAAAAACTACTATGTTCTCGCAGGAGGAAGATGATAAACCTATGGAGCAAAATGGTCAGTATAGTGCAGCTGGGTTGTCTCAAGGTGAATCAGCGTCGTTGGCACTTGAGCTGGCAAAAAATCAATCTTGAGCAAACTAGGGAACAGAGAGCATTCGCAAGGGAAGAATTTGATAGGGAAAGAGAAAGGAGGCAGTTTTCGCATTCTGTAAATGATTTTAGTTTACAAAAAGCAGTATAGCTTGTTCCCCGCTTCAATGAGGCCGAACCAGAACAATTTTTGGAAAGCTTCGAAAATCAGGCTCGAGCCTTGAGGTGGCCGGAACTGCATTGGGCATCGTTGGTTCATACAGCATTATTGGGTAAGGCACAGGAATTTACGTCAGCATTAAATGACGCTGAATTTTCTGATTATAAAGTAGTGAAGACCACAGTTTTGGGAGCATATACATGTATCCCAGCCAAATATAGAAAGATTTTTAAATTAAGCAGGCGGCAGCTTGGTCAATCCCTAGTGGACTTTGTGAGACAGCAAACCAAAGCTTTTACCAGCTGGTATAAAGCAAGTGGTGTCTCTACCTTTGAGGAGCTGGTACAGCTTATTCTGATTGATAACCTGCTGGAGTCTGTGGGACCAGAGGTTAGAGTCTTTCTGCAGGATCGTGACTTAACCACTGCATTGGAGGCAGCCAGGTTGGCTGATACCTTCGAAACTAACCGCTCCTTGTCCGAGCGGTCCCGTCTCTTTTCAACAGCCTGGCATGAGCAGAGATCGTCAACCTTGGAGAATGAAGTGCCAGCCGGAGGGAGAACGTCTACGTCAGCCAACTAAGTCACCTGGTGAGCCACGCTTCTCAACATATGGTCCACCTGCGGAGAGGCAAACTACTCATGGTGCATCTCGACAACAGTATCCAGAGAGACACCAGCCAGAACGACACCATTTGCAACGTCAGCAGGGAGTAAAGGGCAAGCCTGTCGTCTGCTTCCTCTGTAACAAAGTAGGTCACATCCGTCCCAACTGCCCCATAAACCCCAACCCATTGGGAAAATCTCTAATATCCCTAGTAACATGTCCCCTAGAGAAGTAGAAAAAGGTATGGCCCCTTATTATTGCAAGAGTCTTATTTCCCTTCAGGAAAACTCAGAAACAACTGAAGTAAAGACCTTTAGAGATACCGGAGCATATTGCTCACTTGTAAGAGAAGGAATATTACCCGTTTCAGAGAACACTTCCTTGAATTCCTCTGTTTTATTGGAAGCATTTGGAGGAGCTATATATTCTGTTCCTTTGCATAAAATTTATGTACAGTGCAAATATTACACTGGGTACTTGACTGTAGGTGTCTCAAAAGGATTCACCATGAAAGATGCCATGTTATTACTGGGTAATAACATTACTACTGTTAGTGTGTGTCCTGAACCTATAATGAGTAATTCTTCTCCGGTGTTGGCCATAACTCGGGTAACATCCCAAGGGTTGTCTGGAGAGAATGTTGACCTATCCTTGGACGACTCCGATCTCCGAATAGCCACGTTGTTTTATGAGGCACACCGGCCGGAGCCTCGTAAATCAAGTGAACGGACCCCGATCAAGCCTTCCTATTCCCAGGTTGCAGGATTGCCAGATGTCTCTGTTTCCATGCCCGAGGGACTGTCCTTCCGGGAGGAACAACGAAAGGACCCTTCTTTAAAATTCGCTTTTGAGGCAGCCATGGGTAAATCCTCTTTATGTCAACCGGTCAGGTATGAAGTTAAAAACGATTATTTGATCTGCACTGAGACTGGTAAGGAGATAGAGGGCCGGCAATTGTATGACAGGTTAGTGGTTCCAACCAAGTTTAGACCTCAAATATTAAATATAGCTCATAATACTTCATTAGGAGGTCACTTAGGAATTACAAAAACCTTGTATAGAATCACAAAAGAATTTTATTGGCCAAAATTAAAGAAAGATGTGAAGAATCATATTAGGTGTTGCCGAGAATGTCAGCAAGTAGGGAAACCTGGGACATTCCATTAAACCTGCACCTCTCCAACCTTACCTGCTGATGGAGAACCTTTTGCAGATTTAATTATAGATTGTGTTAGGTCCACTACCTAGGTCAAAGTCTGGAAATCAATATTTATTTACGATTATGGATAAAGTAACCAGATATCCTGAAGCAATTCCCATGCGCAGTATTAATACTAAAGCTATTCTCAAAGCTTTAACAAAATTCATTTCTTGTTTTGGCATTCCTAAAACTATTCAGAGTGATCAAGGTACTAACTTTACTGCCAAAGCATTTAGAGAAGTATTAACTAGGTTAGGGATAATCCACAACTTATCCACTGCCTATCATCCTCAGTCCCAAGGCGCCTTGGAAAGATTCCATCAGACATTAAAAACAATGATGAGAACTTTTTGCATGCACTTTCCTACAGACTGGGATGAATCACAACCTTTGTTGCTGTTCTCAGTACGAGAGACGGTGCAAGAGTCTACAGGGTATAGTCCGTTTGAGCTGATCTTTGGGCACAATGTACGAGGTCCTCTTCGGGTGCTCGAAGAAGGATGGATGGGAGAAGACGTTAGCTCAACACTCTACAACCCGTCTTCAAGGTTGCAGGTGACACGTCAGTTAGCCAAGGCTAACCTAAAGACAGCTCAAAGTAAGATGAAACAGAGGTATGACAGAAGTGCACAATTCCGCTCCTTCCATCCAGGAGACAAGGTGTTGGTGCAGGAACCTATACCTGGCCACACCTTGAAAGCTAGATTTACGGGATCTACGCAGATTGTAAGTAGATTATCTGATGTAAATTATGTGGTAGCTCCCATTGATAAGACCTCAAAAACTAAAATTTACCACATCAATCAATTGAAATCTTTTCATACACCACATAGTCTCAGTAATGACTGTCCTCTACCTCTGAGGACGACTCTGATTCTTTGCACTCTATCTCTGAAATTAATATTAAACTTTGAAATTCTGTCCTCAAGGATCCTAGCCCTTTAATGGAGGGACTATCTGAAACGCAAGCAACAAATTTAACTGAGCTTCTACAGTCATATCTAATATAATTTTCGGATGTGCCGAAAAAATGCACGTTAGGTTATGATGTAGATGTGGGAAACTCTAAACCAATTAAACTCTCCCCCTAC